CTGAGATTATAATACCCTCTGCATGGGTATAAAAATGTAAGTAAAATATTATATGTTACAGGTGAAAAGGTGAGTTAAATGGCTTGAGTAATGTGAGAAATTTGGTTTGAAGCGTCTGTAGTAGTTGCAGAAAGCTACGAATCTTCTTGATTCATCTGTATCAGGAGGAACAGGATATTGCTTCTTTTGTACTTTCGTTGATATAAGATGCTTCTAGTGATTTACGCTAGCTATCAAGCTCGTTTGTGAACTAAGTTGAGGTTTTTCCTTTTTGGTAATTTTTTCTTTAATAACCTCCGAGGTTTCACCGACAATTGTGCTTAGAAGTTTATTGATAATTGCATCAATTGTAAGCTCATTTTGAACTTTGTAAATGGTTGATCCAATTGTCTTTGACTTAGTTACCTCTATAGCAATTCCTTCGTAGGGCACTTTTCTCATCTTGACCAATTTTATTGCCGTAATGAATCGTTGAAGATGTATTTTTTTCCATCAAATTCTGTCACAGCATTTGAAATTTCGCTAATGTACGTCCTTTGGGCGACTGCTTGTCAGCCATTTAATAATGTTTATTATCTACTACACTATTGTCAGTATCGGAATCTTTTTTATCTTGGTCTGATAATTCAGATTAAATTAAAACGGCGGGAATGGTAGGATCTATTATTATATCCAAACTATACCTCTCTTTTATTGTTAATAAATTCGATCGTGAGGTTAGGCTAGGTTAAATATGGCTGGAAGTGGATGAAATTCAACCCCCCACCCTAGACCGCAAGGACCTTTTGTGATGCCATGTGATCCGAGTAAAAGGTATGTCCTTAAGCTCGTTAAAGGTGCGACTGTTTAAACAATCTGGTATGGTTCAAGAATCTCATGAGGTTGGCTATTTTGATACGTGGTACGACCGCAAGATTGGGAAGAGTGTTCCTGCCAAAGTGCCTGAAACGTTTAGGGTTGTGCGCTGGGCACAAACACAGGAGCTGATCGATGGTTTTTTCCTCGTCTGTCTATCTGCAACTACGGTAGAAGTCGTGATACTGGAATCCGAGTCGTCTAGCATTATTGCCCATGTGGCAGTGTTTTGTAAGTGCACCAATTAGGATGGATATATCATTCCTTTTATACTGAACGAGAGCCTTTGTTTTGTTTTGGGCTACGTGTGGGCCATGTAAGCATAAACGGTTTCATATAGCTGCCATAGGAACGATCAAATAATTGAACTGGAAATCATCATATCGTCAATGTTTTAAAGCATTAATTGTATCTCTTAACATCCGTCTGAGACACTCATTTTCTGTATCTATAATCAAATTACTATTTGGGGGGAATTTAAACAGTTGACTCTGCCAAAGTTTTCCAGGCAAATCTCTGATCAACATTTGGCTCGCTGCTGTTCCTAATCTTTGTGCATTATTGGTGCACACATTTAATGTCTAAAATTAGTCAAAAAATCATTGGTAGCCAAAAATAACAATAACCAACAAAAGTGTTGAACAACTCGTGTGAATCAGCTGCTTAGCACCAGTGTTGCAAACTTGTCACTAGTTTTCGGAACCAAAGTTGCCAAAAACGATGAAAAAGGTCCCAACACAACACGCTTTGAACAATAAGAACATTAAATTAAGGGGTAATAAGAACAAAAACACTTTTAAACTAAACTTAGATAATTAACACTTCTAACCATATAAAAGCAAACCGAAAAGCGCTTGCTAAAAATAGGTCCCAAGAAAATAAGTATTTTTTTTCGTTCCTATCAAATTCGTTCGGAAACTAGAGCAGGGGCGGCGGATTTGCAAAACTCCAGTAGTCCATCACAAAATAATTTTTAAAGAGTCAAATATGTTCCTATTAACCAAATCTGTTATGCAACAATGTTCTTAAACATCAAAAAATAGGGTAAAATTATCATTTGCACTTTAAGTTATCGCAAAGTATTTTAAAAGAATTAATTTCTGTTCTTGCAGATCTGAATCCGTCAAATACTTGTCGAAAAGTTTCCGTGAGTTTTTTGCGGAAGTTAACAGAGAATTTACAGAGGGAACTTAGATTTTATGTAAATCTTTCGAAAGTGAAAATTGAAACAGGTCTGGGAAATTCGAATCCGTGTGAATTTTTCGGAAGTGAAAACTGGAACAGGGCTGTAAATGTTCTAGATCAGCATCCCTAGGAGAGTTGATCTAGCCATGTCCGTCTGTCCGTCCGTCCGTTTCAACGCAAACTAGTCTCTCAGGTTTAAAGCTTTCTACACGAATCTTTCTGAAAAGTTGTCGTTCTATTGCAAAAAGTATGTATGTCGAACTGAGCCGAATCGGACGACTATAGGTATAGCTCCCATAGGAATAACCACAAAATTAATGAAAAACAAGAAAGAAAGCAAACTTCGGCAAGCCGAAGTTCATATACCCTTGCAGCTATCGCAAGAATTAAATATTTTTGAAAACATTAAAATTATGATTTACTTGCGTATATGCTTAAAAACATTGAAGCTATGAAGATTTGCAGCTTAATTATTTGATTGTTCTTTTATATATTTTTATTATTTGTATGGGAGCTATATGATATAGTCGTCCGATTTTGATGAAATTTAAACCATAATTCTGAAATATTTAACCATTGCTATTTGTCGAAGAACTAAAAAACAAATTAAAAAACAGCAAAGTTATAATTTTTTTCAATTATTTTTCCGATTGTTCCTATGGGAGCTATATGCTATAGTCGTCCGATTTTGATGAAATTTTAATCATAATTTTGAAATATTTAACCATTGCTATATGTCGAAGAACTAAACAAAAAATTAAAAAACAGTAAAGTTATAATTTTTTTTCAATTATTTTTCCGATTGTTCCTATGGGAGCTATATGCTATAGTCGTCCGATTTTGATGAAATTTTAACCATAACTCTGAAATATTTAACCATTGCTTTATGTCGAAGAACAAAACAAAAAATTAAAAAACAGCAAAGTTATAATTTTTTTTCAATTATTTTTCCGATTGTTCCTATGGGAGCTATATGCTATAGTCGTCCGATTTTGATGAAATTTAAACCATAATTCTGAATTATTTAACCATTGCTATATGACGAAGAACTAAACAAAAAATTAAAAAACAGCAAAGTTATAATTTTTTTTCAATTATTTTTCCGATTGTTCCTATGGGAGCTATATGCTATAGTCGTCCGATCCAGCTCGTTCCGACTTATATACTACCTGCAATAGAAAGACAACTTTTGGGAAAGTTTCATGCAGATAGCTTTAAAACTGAGAGACTATTTGCATATAAACGGACGGACAGACGGACAGACGGACGGACAGACGGACGGACAGACGGACAGACGGACGGACAGACGGACATGGCTAGATCGACTCTACTAGTGATGCTGATCAAGAATATATATACTTTATAGGGTCGGAAACGTCTCCTTCACTGCGTTGCAAACTTCTGACTGAAATTATAATACCCTCTGCAAGGGTATAAATATAGCTTTGCTGTTTTTTAATTTTTTTTCTACATCTTTGAGATATAGTTATAGTTAATGATTTTAGAATTACGATTTAAATTTCATCAAAATCAGACGACTTACCCTATATAACTAAAACAACAGTACATTACTTAAATACCATTGCATTAAAGCTGAAATAGTCGTTTCGATTCAAATATAACGAGGGGCCGTAACTGGATTTCTTACTTTAACATGCGTGCCGCCTACGTAATTCGGGTATGACATAACGTTCGCCTCATTCATTGACGGTATCATTGAAGCTGAGAAACAGAGACAACAATATGGACTCGAGATTTTTTTTTTTGATAATAAGTTTACGGTCACACTGTCTTTTTAACGTTAAATTCAAACTTTATTGTATTAGGTTTATCACGCTAACTTTAAGGTTTAAAGGGTTCAATTCTTCCCTTTAAATGGGAATACATTTAAGCCTCGCTTTTTCATTCCTTTTTGTTGCCAACTCCAATAAATGAGAAAAATTTTACTTTTTATTGGCCCCGGTGGTATTTTATCGAATGGTAATTTTATACTTAACATTGCCAAGTAGATTAACTAGAAATTATATTCCCCTAATAATAATTCATAGCGATCTATCCTGTAATATCACCTTATTAACATGATTTTGTTAAGCGAACCACCACGAAACTTCTTGAGCTGACATCTATTGCTATTAAGGGATTTAATATTCGAAATGTAGACTGAAGTTTTATATAAGATTTCAGTAAGGCTTTTGACTCTTTTAATCATTCTTTTCTTTTATTTTAATAAGATCAGCCGGGTTTCCGAAAAATCTGTTTTGCCATTTATAGGGGCACGCCTTCGATTATAAGGTATTTTCTTCATAATATGCCACTGGACCGCAATTATTAATTCAACGATTTAGCAGTTTTTCTTCACCCAAAATTAAAAGGGGAAAGACGTTATTTACATTTTTTTTTTGTCTTTTTGCTTTCTTACTCTATTAGATTACTATAGCTTCTTGTACCTACTCTTGTAAATCGTAATTTTACAAAGCGAAGCGCAAACAAAAAACTGCATTGTCAAATATATTACCGCTCTCTATTAAGGTTAGAATTAAACAACACTTTAGTAAAAGATGAAACTGCCCAACTTCAATCAAAATTAATATTCAAATATCAAGGCACTCAAACCAGCTAGCGGAACACAAACCCGGCTAAGAAGAAATGTCCTACCAGCCCGTTAACTAATGTGGCCACACTTCAACCAATTAGGCCTGTTAAATGGCATCAAGTAAATTTATTTATTTAAGATTTCACACTTTTGTCTTGTCCAAAAAAGAAAAAGGTTCAAAATAAATGAAATAATATAAACAAAATAAAAATCACATAGGCAAACATCTAATATTAAATTCCAGGAATAATTACAATAAAAATATCATTCAAAACATCAATAGTTATGAAAGGAAGTACATATATTTGATTGTTTGAGTTCAGTAACCTTTGTATCACCGAATTATAGTATTTTTTGATAGACTTACCATTCTTTTGCCAACTGTTTGTATGCTTTTCTAATTTCTTGTGCATTAGCAATCTTATTTAGTCCTAAAATAGCATAGGGGTCGTTTGAAGCGCAAAGACTTATTGTGAATGTTGCGCACAGAATCAAAAAGGAGATATGATTATAAAAGGGTTTCGTCATCGTAGCGTGTATGCTTTAACTGTAAAAATAAACATTCAAATAAAATAAATAAAGGTATCAGTTGCCATTTCTGATATTTACATATTTTAATTTGGTGCATAATTGTAAATTTTGTATGCCAGTTTGTTAAATAAATTGTAATATAATATTGCTACGTTCTAAATTTTTATACACTTGCAGAGGGTATTATAATTTCAGTCAGAAGTTTGCAACGCAGTGAAGGAGACATCTCCGACCCTATAAAGTATATATATATTCTTGATCAGCATCACTAGTAGAGTCGATCTAGCCATGTCCGTCTGTCCGTCTGTCAGTCTGTCCGTCTGTCCGTCCGTTTATATGCAAACTAGTCTCTCAGTTTTAAAGCTATCTGCATGAAACTTTCCCAAAAGTTGTCTTTCTATTGCAGGTAGTATATAAGTCGGAACGAGCCGGATCGGACGACTATAGCATATAGCTCCCATAGGAACAATCGGAAAAATAAATGAAAAAAAATTATAACTTTGCTGTTTTTTAATTTTTTGTTTAGTTCTTCGACGTTTAGTAATGGTTAAATATTTCCGATTTACGTTTTAAATTTCATCAAAATCGGACGACTATAGCATGTAGCTCCCATAGGAACAATCGGAAAAATAAATGAAAAAAATTATAACTTTGCTGTTTTTTAATTTTCGGTTTAGTCCTTCGACATTTAGTAATGGTTAGATATTTCCGATTTACGTTTTAAATTATATCAAAATCGGACGACTATAGCATATAGCTGCCAAAGGAACAATTGGAAAAATAAATGAAAAAAATTATAACTTTTCTGTTTTTTAATTTTTTGTTCAGTTCTTCGACATATAGCAATGGTTAAATATTTCAGAATTATGGTTTAAATTTCATCAAAATCGGACGACTATAGCATATAGCTCCCATAGGAACAATCGGAAAAATAATTGAAAAAAAATTATAAATTTCTTGTTTTTTAAATTTTTTTTTTGTTCTTCGACATAAAGCAATGGTTAAATATTTCAGAATTATGGTTAAAATTTCATCAAAATCGGACGACTATAGCATATAGCTCCCATAGGAACAATCGGAAAAATAATTGAAAAAAAATTATAACTTTGCTGTTTTTTAATTTTTTTTTAGTTCTTCGACATATAGCAATGGTTAAATATTTCAGAGTTATGGTTTAAATTTCATCAAAATCGGACGACTATATCATATAGCTCCCATACAAATAATAAAAATATATAAAAGAACAATCAAATAATTAAGCTGCAAGTCATCATAGTTTCAATGTTTTTCAGCATATACTCAAGTAAATCATAATTTTAATGTTTTCAAAAATGTTAAATTCTTGCAATAGCTGCAAGGGTATATGAACTTCGGCTTGCCGAAGTTTGCTTTCTTTCTTGTTTTTTTTTAAATTTTCAATAAACAACATTAAAAAAAAGTTTGGTCTAAAAGAATTTCCAGTGGAGGCTCAAATCATCTGAAATATACTAACCAAAACTTATTGGTGAAAGGAAAAAAATAGTCAACTATTCATTGTAATATTTATTTTTAAATAACCACATTTTTATTTATGGTTTCAACTTTTGAATACTTTTATACGGGTGCCAATTTTATCATATATATGGCAAAGAGGTGGTGTATTGAGCGTGATTTACAGCAAATAACACTATTAGGTAATTCCAATTATGGGTCATTCTTCTACAAACCGAACACCATTTAATGAGTAAAATTTTTAATTTGCTGGAAATTTTTTTTACAGATACTATGTTAAATAAGTACACATATGTATAACGTAAAAAAAATTACTTTTTTTTAGTAATAATCAGGGTTTGCATTTACTACTCCGTAGCAGCGAGATTCATAAAAATATTGCTATGTTATTGCTATCGCAAGAGCCGTAGCAGAGCCATAGCAGAACAACGATGTTGTTACGGCCCTTGTCAGAGTGAGAGCGATAGCAATAGCAAAACGAAAATCGAGAAGCGTAGCTTATCAAACGCTGGTTATAATATTACGACACTTTAAAAATACCACACATTTCATAAAATACCCATTTGAATGAAAGTTTATATCTTCGGCTGCAGCAGTTTTATCAACTTAATTCTTCTTCTTAATTTCTTTTGCATTTATTTCTTCATAACTTATTTCACCACCACAAATTTGTTTAACTGTGATGCCTAAAATAGGCTATACAATATTTTGGAAGTGCCTACAGTATTTACTTAAAAATTTTCATGAATATTATAAAGGGTTTTTCAATAGGTGCGATTCAACTTTTTTCGGATAGGGACGGCGAACGACGCCATGTTTTTCCTTGTTCTCTTGACATATGTATGAAACTTCATTAGTATACATTTCATCATGGAACGCTACACACTTGAACAGCGATTGCAAACTGTGAAAATTTTTTTTAACAAAATAATCGTTCTGTTGCTGCTACTTTAAGAGCATTACGTCCATTTTACGGTTCATTTAACAAGCCAGCCAAGTTACACCCAAATTTACAAAGGCGATTCGTATAGCTTGCAGTTAAAAGTACAAACTTTAAGCGCGTATTACTCAAAATGGTGTTTTCAAAGTCGGTGACCAACATTACTCGAAAACGGCTAAGCAGTTTAGTCTTAAATTTTAACACGTGCTTCTTAAAAATATGTTTATGTAATTAAACAAAGATTTTATTAATAAGCAATATTACAGCGAGAACTCATAACTCAACGTTTTTAACTCTACTAGTTCTTCACTTTATTTTTTTTTGATTTATGTTAATAACGAATCAATGTTATTTTATTGACAAACGAAAAATTTCTCGTTTCTTCCTTGCGGTCCAATTCTTTACTGCTAAGACCGAGGCAAGGCAACAACAATTTCATTGAACAGCTAAATCAAAAGAAATTTGTTTTTGTCTTTTGTCGACTCTACACTGAGTCTACACTCTACTTGTGTTCGTGGTGTTTTTTAAATGTGTTGGTAAATGCACTGCCAAAAGGCAGTTTTGAGCACCCCTGATTTAAATAAAATTCACTTCCGAGAGATTCAGACGGATTCAAATCTTCCAGACCTGTTCCAGTTTTCACATCCGAAAGATTCACACGGAATCTAAATTCCCTCTGTTACTTCTCAGATTCCGCAAAGTATTTTTTTTATTTTTGCGGTTGTTCCGACTTTTATACTACCTGCGATAGGAAGACAACTTTTTGGAAATATTTATGCAGATAACTTTAAATCTGAATGACTAGTTTATGTAGAAACGGACGGACAGACGGACATGGCTAAACCGACTCTCCTGCTGATTAAGAATATATATACTTTATAGAGTCGAAGATGTCACCTTCACACTTCTGACTGAAATTATAATATCCTCTGTTAATTTTTCCTCCATAGGTGAGTTAAATGGCTTGAGTAATGAGAGAAATTTTGTATGAAGCGTCTTTTGTAGTTACAGAAAGCTACGAATCTTCTTGATTCATCTGCATCAAATCGACTCTAGTGATGTTGATCAAGAATTTATACACTTTATAGAGACGGAGATGTTACCTTACAAACTTCTGACTGAAATTATAATACCCTCTGCAAGGGTATAATAACCGCAATGGCTACCAATGAAATCGAAGATCTTAAACTTAAATGAAATATGTGCATGAAAAATATAAACCGAACGTATCGCTATTTAAAAGATGGAATGTCGTTTAGAAATCCGAAATACGCAAATTGAAAATTCTGCACTTATTCAAAATAAAATTGAAGTGAAAGATGCAAAAGATGTTTTCCGCAAAGAGTTTAAAGAGAGTGCCGTTTTATTAAAATCATTGTTTATTTCAATTTTAAATAAGGCTAAAGAAAATACTGTCAAGAAATCCCATATTTAGCGAAAAACACTCAGAATTTTAAAATTTTATAAGTCTTTTTAAAACTTTTGTTGACAAAAAGGACACTTTGAACGATATTCAAAAATCCAATCAATAAATTTCGTGCTTAGCTGAAGACGCTTTAGGAACAGTTAGGACATTTCAAGTCAGTGCGGAAAGTTATCACAAATCCCTTGCTAACCTGAAGCAGGTGTAAGATAATGTCTGCCTTTATTTTTTGACAACATATCGACTTTTTTTAATTTTCCCTCAACAGGCGATACCAAAATATGGTAACGGTAGAGGCTTCCAAGCCAAAAATGGTTGAGCAGGCCCAATCTTACCCTAAGAAGAATGGAATTAGGAGTTTGTCGCTGCCAGGAACGACCCTGTCTAATGTGTGTATAGCAACTCAGCTAAACATCAGATTGAAAACTGCGCTTCCTTCGCAGACACTTCAGCAAAGATTCGATTTGGCTAAAAGAGCACCCTTATGCATTAACTGCTTAAGAAAGGGTCACACTGTCAAGACATGCAAATCGAACAGATGCAGATGCACAAATCTCGCGTTGTCACACCCTTCTCAGCTTGCGCTCATGCAAGGCACTCCATCCACTTAGCATGTTTTGCATGCCGCATCGAATAGTGTTATTCTTGCATTCTGTTGTGAGCGTTCAAATCAAAAGTGGCGAGTTTGTATTAGCTTGAGGGTTGCTGAACTCTAGTTCAATAATAAACTTTGTGACCGATGAGCTCGTTCAGAGGCTCAAAATTACAAGAAAAAACGTGTGCTTGAGCTTGCGAGGCATTGGTGGGGCCAATGCCCAGCTACAAAAAAAAAATACCCACGATTGTGAAGACGCGAGAAGGAAACAGAAAAATATTTCTGGTTATCATCCGGATCAAACGGTGAACACCAGCGGGTGAAGGGGGGCTGGAAATATTCACTTGGTAGATTCATTATTTTTTAAGCCCCAAAAAATAGATTTGCTTATCGGCGCAGATACGTTCCTTGAACTTATCTGTTGGCCAGATAAAGCAGGAGCCTGAACTTCCCATCTTACAAATGGCAATTCTCGGCCGGATAGTTTCAGGGAGATGTACCTCTGAAATAAGAGTAAAAGCTGAAGAAATGTTACATCTCAGCTGGAGTCAATTGACACTGAGCAAC